AAGTCCACATCCACTTGTCGCTTGGTCAGGATGTTAGGTTGCGCAGGGCGCTTTTGCTTGGTTCCTTCCGCAGCCTTACGACATAACAATGTTTCAGCTGTGTGGAACTGGTTCCCGGCCAAGTCAATAATATGGTACGTAATTGTTCTCAATCTGATAGGGATCTTGCATCGATTCATTATACATCATTTATGTAGGCTCTAGCAGAAAAGGGGGTATCGCGTATATCGTCCCTGATCCTCAACTCGACTCCGCTCATGGTAGTCACGAATCAATCCTTTTCTTTCTTGTCTTCCTTCTCATTTTCCTCCGCCTCTTGCTCAGCCTTTTCTTCCTCCTCTTCAGCTTCTTCATCTGCTTCCTCAGTCGTCTTGCCCTTCCTGCCCTTAGCCTTCTCCTTCTCCAAGACCTTCTTGACATCCTCTCCACCGAGATCCTTCATCTCGTCCCAGTCGACATCATACTCGCCCGCCACCGTCTTAATCTCTCGACGCAGCGCGTTGGCCTCCTGCAACAGCTGCTCCCACTTGTGCAGGTTGAGCCCCTTGGCTTCGTACAACGCGTTTTGCCGCCGGCTGACCGTGACGTTCATGGCCGCCTTGTAGCTCAGATCGCGGCTGATGTATAGGAACCACAGATAACCGCCCATGATAGTCGTCAGCCCAACGAGATACGTCACCGGCTCAACTAAGTCCCATCCGAACTCCGTGTGGAAAGTAACATAGTACACGATGCCCCACCAGCCGGCCAGCAGCCCAAACCCGCCCTTGGCAATGCGGTGCGCCGCTCGGTGCGCCAGCTCATCGCACTCTTGCTTGATGCGCGCGAGGTCCTCGATCTCGCGCGACATGCGCCGCAGCCGCAGGCGCATGTAGTACGTGCGGTCGTTGAACGACGGCACGCCGACCCGCATCTCGATGTTGTATCCCTCCACCTCGATCGCAAACTCCCGACCCCGCGCCGCGTCCCGGATGAAGTCGCCCATTTCCGTGCTGCTGCTCCACCGCACCCAGTTCTTGGTCTTGTCGCTGTCCTCCTCGGCCTCGTGGCCCAGGCCCGAGTATGACGCCACGTGCGGGTTGCTGCTCGGCGAGGGCTCCTCGCCCTTCTTCCGGGGTTTGTTGTCTGACGTCTCGGAGTCTTCGGCGCGGAAGTAGACGTTGGGGATCTTCTCTTTCCCATCTTCGATCACCGGAGGTAGTTCAGCTTGTATGAGACGTTCGACGTACGACAGGGGCTGTTGCGGGTGGATGAGGAGCGCAAGGGGCTGGATGTCGTCATTGTTGGAAATTGCCCTGCCATATTCTCCCTTGCTATTGTTCTCGCGATCTTTCTCGACGGCAATCGGCAGGGGAAGTATGAGCTTGAGAAGTCGCGTCGGCGTGGTCAAGAGCTTCCCTAGAATTTGAGAGTCAGTGTATCATCGTGGACAATGGGTGCAAATATATGTGGCGACGTACCCCTGGTCAAAGGCTCCTTCTTCCTTTTGCCTTCTTCCTCCACCGGTGGCTTGTCTGCATCCTCGCGATGCCACGGCCTCTTGACCTGGTGCTCTCTGACCTTGACTTGTTGCTCATGCTCGTCCAGCCCTTGTTGATTGAGCTTCTTTGCTTTCTCTTCCGCGCTGTCTTTCCTCCGAGGAGCCGAGAAGCTGAAGGTTCTATTCGGGACTTGCGATACCGCACAACAAGAGAGTAGCTGCCATGTAGGTGCTACCTGACGGTGCGAAGCTGCGAGGCCTGCCGAACGCAACGACCTGGCCAATTGCCGAGGCATTTGCCCGAAGACATTGTTCATCGCTGCTCCGGATGCCGCAAGTCGACGATTACAACGCTATCCTCAGTCGTGAACATGCCCGCAGAGTGTTGTGTTTGTTGTCGAGTTGTGGTTTCCGGAGGCCTCGTCCTGGAGCTCATTCTTGGCAGCGCCGGCAATGCGCTAGAACGTGACGTCACGGAGCTGCACAGGCCACCTGATGAGGAGCTGACGCTCCGGTATCATTTGTGTAAGTGGCACAAGGCGACATCTCGATCGAACTTCATCACAATGCTCACAGAGACTTCGCTGTATTTGAAAGAAATCGAAGCTCCTGGTGAGGCCCGCCATGGTTTGGAATATGAGAATTTGATTTGGCAGAGCTGCAAGACTTCAAGTCCAAGATTAGAGTGACGAAACGGGGGCTCGATCCAGCTACTAAGAGACTGCCCAAAACCGAAGAACTAGATGACTACCTAAGCAGGTAGGCGAGAAGCGCACCGATATTTGTCAATCGCAATGAGTCTGGAAGAATTATTGCACAATGTTTTCGTTGCGGATTAATTGTAATGTCAAACAACGCTAGGATGCCTGGATAGGCACGCTGCAACATAGGCGAATGCCTGGATTATATAAACAAATTACTACATATCATCAACATCATATTCCACCCGCAGTTCTGGACAGCGATATTGAATGCTCAAACCACAGATGTCTCCTTCGGCGTAGTATGGCCCGGCTCCCCAGAACCAGCATCCTCCTTACCCTCAATGACATCGCCCGGCCGCTCGCGCCCCAGCATCAAGTGCTCGACATTGATCTTGGGCCCCTTGAACCACTTGTGCGCATCTACCGCGAACCAGATGATGGCAAACAGCATCGGCCCGCCCCACACCAGCACCGTCCAGTTCATGCCCGCCGCGTCCAGGTCGCTGCCCGTGACGCTGGGCAGACACAGGATGGGGATCATCAGCACGGTGAACATCGTGCTGATGGTACCGACGACGGGGCTCCACCGCCCTAGGTGCCAAGGACCCGGGCGGAAGCGCTTGCCTACGAAGAAGGTGCGGATGGTGATGGGAATGGTGAAAGCCACGAAGGCGCCGATGGCGCCGATCGAGAAGATGGCGCCGATGGCCACGTCGCCGGCGAAGAGCAGCAGCACGAGCAGCGAGCCGAGCACGGCGTTGAACCACACCGCGTTGACGGGCGTGCGGGTCGTCTTGTTGACCCGCGACCAGTACCGCGACAGCGGGAAGCAGCCGTCGCGGGCGTAGGCGAACGTGACGCGGCTGGCGGCGACCATGCACCCCTGGCCCATGCTGAAGCCCGCGATGATCGTCAGGGAAAGGCAGGCCAGTGCCGCCTTCTCGTTGAGGCACTGCAGGAGGTAGGCTGCCCATGGCTGTCCCAGGTCTGACTCCAAGGCGGCGTCGATGTCCACGATTGTGTACGCCACCACCATCTGCAGCACCCAGCCGACAACGCCACCTACGGCTGAAGTCAGGACGATGGCTCGTGGGGATGCAATATTGGCGTTGGAGCACTCCTCCGCCAGATGGAAAGGCGAGTCGTACCCGCTCATCGTCCAGATCACACCGATGAAGGACATCAGAACAGCAACGCCTGACGGGTAGTCTGTCCCGACATAGAACTCGCCCCACACGGAAGCCGAGTCATTGAACTTTGGCTGGTCCGGGTTCTGGTCTTTTCGGTTGTCGGCGGCGAGAATGACAATGATGACAATAAAGAGCGCGAGCATGTTGAATGTGCTCCCCGCCGAGTTGAACTGGGCGACCCAGCGGGTGGGCATAGACGAGATGATCGCATGGACGAACATAAGCAGCATGGTGAGCAGGAAGACCTGGTAATTCTCCGGGACGTAGTCGGGATTGGTGATCGAAGCGGCCGCGAGGATCATGGCTGCTAAGGCGTAGTTCACAGACGGTGCAGCCGTGAGTTGCCCGAGCCAATTGGACCAGCCGGTGATCCAAGCCGCGAAAGGCCCCCATTTCGGTGGTGCAAGGACGGCCGAGGCATAGTACAGGCCACCAGAGGTTGGCATTGACGAACATAGCTCAGCTGTGCGCTTGTTAGATCACTATCACAAAGGATCGTGCAGGAACCATTCTTGCTCACCCATGCCCATTGCGATACACTGAATGAAGACCATGGCAACGATCCAGCCCCAGACCATGCCGGGAGTGCCAGCGTAGCCCATGCCATAGTACAATGTGGAAGCGAAAGAAGGCAGAAGACCAAGGACAGCGAAAGACACGCAGAACGTGGTCCACAAAGAGAACTCGCGCTTGAACTCGCCCCTGACGGCCGTGTAAGCGAATGACTTCTGGAGGTCTTCTCTGCGATGATGCAGAAATCAATTGATCAATGCTTACTTGTAACCGAGGGCTGCGAGGACTTCATCATCGGTATTGTACCCGCCCTCGAGAATTGGCACTTCTCCTGGTGGCAGCACTGATGATACAGGCTCTTCCGCCACCGACCGGTGGTGCTTTTGCTCTTCACTCATTGAGAATGTCTCGTGATGGAAGTCTCAAACTCGGTGGCGCGACGGATGAGGTACCCGTAGGACTCTCGAAACTCTCGCAAGCTTGGGGCTGTCCTCATGGAATAGGATTCTCGAGTTGTCAGACTCTTGCGACCTTACACAATTGTGACCCGTTTGCCGATCGCAGTCGTGCTCATGGAATGAATGTGAGAAGTGTAGATCGTTCAAGCTGATGTAGAAACAAGCTTCGATGCAGTATCTGAGTAGCGGAGGGATTAAAGTGCGTCAGTACCACAGAACATATATCAAAGGTCGCGTAGACCACGGAATTGAGTCCGCCCCCCACGTGCGACGAAACGAAACTAGACTGACTCTGTACTCTGCGGCCGCAATGATCGTCGAGGGTCAATTGTCTGGTTATCGCTGTATCGTCGCAGCATTGAAGCAGGCCGGAGCTGGGATACGGACAGCTGGTGAGGCGATTTCCATTACCACCTCCCTACTAGACTAACAGCGGCAGTCGCTCGCTGTCCCCGAATCGGTGTGGGCTGACCTCATTCTATTGATAAGGCGAGATGAACACCTGCAGCAGGGATTGATGGATGGAGGGAAGGCCCACTGGCCACGCTTGACAAGCCGGGAGCTAGCCCCAGCTCCAAGTCTGGATATAGCAAGTCTATCCAGGACAAGATAACGGTGACGGCATTGAGTGGAGGGATTCTTTGCGCCAGCCACTGGCCCAGGACAGGGTCTCTGACGTGTGGGGTGATAAGACATTTAGCTTGAGATGACTGCACTGAAACGCCTATCTCAAGCCACCAACTGTTAGGTTATCATTACTGCTCACTGTAAGGTTGTGCACCTCTGCCGGGGTAACATTTGTTAATTCTGAGTGGAATCACGACTTTTCAGACAA